GGGTACCCCCATTCTTGTCACCACCTACTGGTTTTGTGACAGTGGCAAGAACCTTCTCCTTCTTCTTCTCAACCCTGGACTTGGTGGCCGAGTACTTCCTCTTGTACATGGCCTTCCTGGAGTACATGGCCCATCGGGAATACCTGCCGATTCCCCGGACTAGGACAGGATTGCGGCTGCAGTGAGCTTTCCCCTTCTTGGGGGTTTTGCCCGTGCCCTTCGGCTTGGCTTTCTTAGCTTTGCCACTCGTATCTGCCTTCTTGGCTTCAGGCTTGGCCGCAGGCTTCTTCTCCTTGGGGTCTGCCTTTTCACCCGCCATCTTGCAAGATGGGACAAAGCGTGGCTTTGATATTTGTTCACTAGAGTTAGGAACTTGGATTTTCAAAAAAGTTAAAAACAATAAAACAAAGACTTAGTAAACTTCTTTATGGTTAAATGGAATCCTCTATGATGTAACAAAGAGAGAAAAAGAGATAAGTGTTAAGAAGTAGATATTTATTAATACAGAGGTTAGGGTTTTATCTACTCAATATGTTCCTAATAGGAGATCTAAAAAGAAGTGACTCAGAAATCTTTAGAAGGAATATGTCATGAAACCAATATTTATTGGTAGAAACAAATCTAACAAAAAAAAAGGTGCCCTCCATCATGTGATGGTAAAAATAAGAATATCATTTGAACAGAAAAAAAGAGAGTGAATAGAGTTTTTTGGGTTCTAGCAATAGCTGTAAAAGTAATTTGGGCCAAACTGTACAATGAAGAACGATAAAGAAATTTGGACAAATAATTCCTTAAGACAAATATTTTAAAGCTATACAATTACTAACCAGACAGTGAAACACTATTATGCCAGATTATAGTAAAATATGTGATCCAGGACCGAGAAGCCAGTATTTAGACTATCTTGTCCCAGACAGCACCTTCTGATTCAGAAAGTGTACATGAATGTCCAAGAGACTATGCAACATGCTTCATAACCTCGCGACACTTATTTCAGAGTATTCAAACATCTTTGGTGAATCAGCTATCTTGTCCTTTGTCCATTTTGTAATTAGTCTTTTTCTTGTGGGGGTGCTGGTGTTTTCTAGGACTTTTTTTATGTGAGTTTGTCTTTAGATAAACCATTGTCACACATTTTATCATAATCTTTTGGTCCTTTAGAACTGAATGTTGGTTTACTATTTGAAAATCAATAATAAAATCAGAAATAAGACAAGGGTCTTTTGCTTTCACTGCCTCTAATAATTATTTTATTCCATATTCTGGATAATGAAAACTCATTGACATCAAGTCATAGTCGGCACATTCCTGACCTTTCAGCAGGATCCAGAGCTGTAAATCTAGAAAGAGGAAATTGCCCATCTTGCCATTGGGAGATTTAAATGACTAGAGAGGCAACATCCCTAGGAGGAGATGAGCAGCGACTCCACTCCCTACAGAGCTCCTTTGTTGCTGTTGTGTACCATCCAATTGGAATGGACTCATAGCTGACCCTCCAGCAGGTTTTCAGAGGCTTCATGTTGTGCAGGAGGAGACCTGCTCATCCTTTTCTGAAGCAGCACCTGGTGAATTCGAAACTAACGCCTTTGGAATTGCACTTCACCGTTTTACCACAAAGCCACTAGAGCTCCTTTAGTCAGTGAAATCAACAAGAAAACAAAATTAAATGCATCCACATTGCTTTTATCTGATGGATCTTGCCTGAAATTGGAGAGTACCAGAAGGATGTCTACTTGTGTTTTAGTGACTATGCGAAGGTGTTTCACTGTATATCAAAAGAAATTATTACTAACATTGAGAAGAATGAGAATCCTAGAACAATTGTGCTTATGTGAACATATACAGAGACCAAGAAGCTGTTGTCAAATTAGAGCAAGAGAACACTGTATAACTTAAAGTCAAGAAAAGTCTGGTGAGGTTGTGGAGAAACTGGAACCCTTGTTCACTGTTGGTGGGAGTGTAAAATGGTGCAACCACTGTGGAAGGCGGTATGGTGCTTTCTCAAAAAGTTGCAAAAAGAGATACCATTTGACCCAGCAAGTCCACTACTGGGAATATACCCTAAAGAGACCATAACTGCCATCCAAGCAGACATATGCACACCCATGTTTATTGTGGCTTTGTGCACAATAGCAAGGAGTTGGAAACAACCTAAGTACCCATCAACCAACGAATGGATAGAGAAGCTGTGGTATGTTCACACAATGGAATATTACACGGCATTGAAAAATAAGGAACTCATGCAATACTATTCAAAATGCATGGCCCTGCAGGACATTATACTGAGTGAAATATCTCAGTCACAAAAGGACAAATACTGCATGCTGCCATTGTTGTAAAACAGGACTGACCTCGGTGTTGCGAGGAGACCAAGAAGGATGGGTTCAATAATGTTCACTGCATTGAAACAGATGAGGGAGAAAACTGTCTAAGAGGGATATATGATCAGGTATTTTTGTCATGACATGAGTCCAGAGCGAAGGCTGCATAGTGGAGTGGACCTGTGGGGAGGGATTGTAAAACAATGAAAGAATTTTTCTTTTACTTTTCCAAGAGAGTAGTGTACTAGGGGGAACAGTTGGGAGGGGAGAAAAGTGCAACAATGAATGAATGGAAATCTAAAGTCTCTGTAAACTTTCATTGAAATTAATAATAATTTTTTAAAATAATAATAACAAAAAAGTAGTAAAAAAATAAAGTCAAGAAAGGTGTGTGTTGGAACTGTATCCTTTTTTCCATATTTGTTCAGTTTATGTGTTAAACAGAACATTAGAAAAACATAACTTTATGAAAAAGAAAATGACATCAGGATCTGATGAAGAGTCGTCAACAATCAGTATTACACATATAACAAAACTTTACTTGCTGAAAGTAAGGAGGATTGAAACATTTATGCAGGAAATCAAATACTATAGTCTTCTGTATTGAATACATATCAGCATCAAGGAAACAAAAATCCTCACCACTTGACCAAAAGACAATATCATGTTAGATGGAGAAAAGACAGAAACTGTCAATTATTTCACCTTACTTGAATCCATGTCAATACCCTTGATAACAGTAGTCAGTAAATCAAAAGACTTGGCATATTGGAAATGTTTGCAGTCGGGGACCTCTTCAGAGGTCTCTGAAGAGCAAGCATGTCAATTTAAAGACTAAGGTACACTGTGGTCTTTGTCTTTTCAGTTACATGTTGTGTATCTGAGAATTACAGGAAAATTGATGTATTTGAGTTGTGTGGCTTAAGAAAAGTACTAAATATGTCAGGAACTGGCAAGACAATGAATAACCTTGGAGAAAGTGCAATTAAGATGTTTCTTGGAGGAAAAAAAATGGTAAAATTTTATCTCCTAAATTTGAGTATGTTGTTAAGAGGAGCCAGCAATTGGAAAAGAACATCATGATTGGAAACGTGGAGGGCCAACGAAGGAAAGGGAAGACCCTCAATGAGAAGGACTAAGCTAGTGACTGAAACAATGGGCTCAAGTGTGGCAGAGTTGATGAGGATGACATAGAAGAGGGCAGGGTTCCCGATCCACAGTTTATAGAGTCATGGAGTCATATGCTACTCGATAGCAGCTGACCACAATAACAATAGATTGAGAGGGAAATTAAAACATTCTAATCACTGTTTAAAATTTTATGAAATCTATTAGTAATGAAACTAATAAGTTTGGAACTAACATGGACAGTTTCATGATATAAATTCATAAACAATGACAAAAAATATCAATTACATCTTACATATTAGTGAAAAAAGAAAAGCAAAAAGTAAAAGATATCATTTATAACTGTATAAAAACCCTATTAAATACCTATAAATCATAAAAAATATGTAAGACCCACACAGTGAAAATTATAAGCTATTATCAGTAAAATAAAAATAAATACATACATATGTACTACATCCCTATGTCCATGACTCAGAAAATCCAATATTGTTAAGATGTCAATTCCACAAAAAGTTATCTATATTGTTGTCATTGCATTTGTTGGTGTTGCATGCCTTAAAGTCAAGTACAACTCATAGCAACCCTATGAACAAAATATTTAAACCATGTTCTATCCTCTGTTATTCTATCTTTGACATACTTGAGCCCATTTCAACAATCACTATGTCAATCTATTGCATTGAAGGTTTTCCTCTCTTTACTCGACCCTTCACCCTTGGAAGCACAGTGTCCCTATCCAAGGATTAGTCCCTCCAAACAACATGTTCAAAATATGTGATATGAAGCGTTACCATCCTAGACTCTAAGGTCCACTAGAGCTGCTATTTCTCCAAGTCATACCTGTTTGTTCCTTTGGCAGTCCATGGCATGGCTATTCAGTACTCTTCTCCAATAGTACACAGCTCAAAGGCATCAATTACTGTAATTCATTGTCATTCAGTCAATTCTAACTCATGATGGCCCCTTCTGTGTTGAGTATAATTGTCCCAAATAGGGTGTTCAAAGCTGTGAGTTTTCAGAAGAAAATCACCAGGTCTGGCCTCTCTTGGGCCTGACAATGGAATCAAACTGCCAGCCTGTGTGGTTAGTACTCCAGAGTTAAACCATTTGCACCATGGATTCCAAAATCTCAATTAAAATGCCAGTTGGCTTTCTTGTAAAACCGAACAAAATTATTCTATAATTTGTAGGGACACATCAAGGATCAAATTTAAAAAAGAAAAAAGAAAAATCAATGTTGGTGGAGTTACAAAATCTGACTTCAAGGTCTACTATAAAGTGAAAATAATTATGAGAGTCATGTGCTGATGCAAAAGACACAAAGCTCCAGAGAGATGACTGCTGGCTGCTACAGCTGCTCAGCTCAGTGGACAGGGAACTGAGCCACACAGGATTAGGCTCAGGCCTTGAAACCTAATGGAACTTGCCTTGCTGGATTTCAGACTTGCTTTGGACCAGTGATCCCTTTATCCCTTCTATTCTTTCCCCTTCAGAATGGGAATGTCTAGCCAGTGTCTGTCCCATCATTGTATTTAAGCAGATAACTTGTTTTCTAATTTATCAGGCATATACATGGAGAAGAATTTGCCCCAAAATGAATCATACCCAGGTCACATTTGAAACTGATCTTGGGTAGGTATTTAAATTTTCTTACCATAAACAGTCATACCAAAAGTGGCATTTAAGTGAAAATTATATGAATGTAATTGACCCTAGAAATCTCAATTTTAAAATATCAAAATTATTTCTCAGTCATAATCACAAATAGGAAACCCAAGAGAGCAATTTCATTTGAGGAAACTATAATTGACTCATTTGAGTGTCTTGAAATGCAAACTAAGTGATTCAGAAGGTAATATAATTGAGT